CCTCCGGCTGACCGCCCGCAGCGGCCGGAGTGGCCGGGAGGTCTTCTTCGTAGAGGGGGGCGTTCGGCCCCAGGACGTTTTGGTAGAGGGCAGTGACCATTTGGCGCAGGGGGATGGGGCGCGCTGGCTTGACAGACCGGCCGGGGTGTTGCGCGTCCCAGTTCCGCTCCACTCCTTGGCTTTGTTGATGGAGAGGATGCAGCGCTCCACCGAGGCGGCGTCCTGCATGGGGAAGAGGTGGTGCTCGACAGCGATGATCCGCTTGTCGATCTTGCCCGCGTGCTTTTCCTTGTTCTTGAGGGGGATGCGGCGCTGGATGAGGCAGATGATGAAGCCGATGACGTCCTTCTTCCATTGGTCCGTCATTTTCCGGAACTCGGGGAGGTCATCATCGCTGGTGATGACGTGGGTCTTGTGGAAGGGGATGAGGCGGTCCTTGCCCGGGGCTGCCTGGCGCGGCAGCTGCATGGAGTTGAGGCGGCCCGTCCCGCAGGACCTGAGTGTCTTCTGTGCAGGGGGGCGGGTTCTCTGCATAGGGGAAGATGGGGAAAAGGTCATCCCACTCTTCCTCTTCCAGTTCGGTCAGGTCCTCGCTGTCTGTTCCCTCCGTTTCCGAGGGAACGTACGCGTCTCCCGAGCTGCTAGAAAGACTTTCTTCTACGGATGACTCTGATTCTGTCCCTGAGCATGCCTCTGAGCCCTCTGATTTTGACGATTCTGAAGACATGGCATTGTCTTGGGCATTCATTCCTGCCACTATTCCCGAGGGAATGCTAAGTTCTTCTTGCTCAGAAACGTCAATGACATCCTTGGTGGGCGGCGGCTGCGACCCACTGGGCTCGTTTGGATTTTGTTTTTCCTGCGTTTCCTGATTCTGGGCTTCCTCAAAAGGCAATTCTACAGACTGCCCACCTGCTGCATCGTCCTGCTCCTTGTCCTGCGCACGCCTCTGCGCCGCGCCAGATGTCTCTGCAGCGATCCCCCCCTTTCCCCGCTCCTCCTGATTCCTGGGCCGAAGGTTTGGCGCCATGGTGCGTGGACGTTGCGGCGAAATGATGTGCTGGTGGCAGGGGGTGACTGCTGACTCTGCGGTCAAGCTGAGAAGGGAAGTGGCTGCCTCCGCAGCCCTTGTGGTTAAGACAAATGGTGAACTGCCCCTGGATAGGGTGACAGCTCCTAAGGGAACACTTGGCTTCAGGAGTAGACTCAGCCATGTCTTGCAGCAGGATTTCTTCAAGCCGAAGGGCAGACTTGAAGTCGACTGTCAAGTCGACGTTTCCAAGCTTGGATGTAAGCTTGCTAGTCACTTTGTGACGTTGGGGCATGCTCGTGCATGAGTCCGCAAGACTCGCACGTGCTGCCTTTTCTAAGTGGATTGTCAAGGTACTTGACTCCTTTGGACATCCACTAGACTCAGCTGCAGGGCTGGTAACTAGTGTGGGGCTTCTAGCAAGTTTAGTGTTAATAGTTAACTTGGCTTGGGCCCCTTCTGACTCAATGTTTGAACTAGACTGGGCTGACGAACTAGACCCGGTGGGTCTAGGCGTCATTGCTGCTAACTGAGCAATTTGTTTGGCTTGTTCCTCTGCTGACAGTGACTGGAACCCAAAATCATAACCACGGGGATCCCTTTTGAGCAGAGCTTGGAGTTCCGGATGGGGATTCTTGTAGCTATTAGGATTTGGTTCTGCTGGGGGTGTTCTAGGACTGCCTATCCATTGTGGATCGGCAGGATCCTTCCAATATTCATAATCCTTATGATATTTATTGGTTACGATTGATGGTAGCTTAGCCAATTCTTCTAATTCCCTAGTCAATTTTAATACTACGCATATGTTTTTCACGTTCCTCCTTTCTTCGTTGAGCGTCAGTCCTGAGTTGATCTTTTGGTATGAAATATGGCATTTCTCGAGCTTCAGCTTTTGCAATTTCTAGTGATCGAAAAGTGTCCGATTTTTCAGTATAATTGATAGTGTTATTATTGTTGTCATCCCCCCCCCTCGCATTGGAACGAAATTTCTCAATTTCCTCGCTGGGGCGAAAACTCAATGGCATGTCGGGATTTCGCCTGGGAAATTGCGTTTCAGTGCGCTGTCGGGAGTATTTCTTTTCTGTTCGTTTTCGTTCACGCTTTTTGGTGACGGTTGCCGGTTCTGGTTTGGTTAACTTGTCTTTATTGCGCTTGCGCTGAGCCGCTTTGGCTTGTGTTTCATCATGTATTTTATTTTCGAGATTCTCCAAATCAAATTCGAATTGTTCAATTCTGTCTTGATTTTCCACAGCCTGCGCGTGCGCCTGCTTGACATGTATTGGTAGGGGATTTTCTGATGCAATCTCATGAGAACTGGCGGGGCTGGATCCCCGGGAGGAATATGCGTTTGAGATTTGATGGCGCTTTTCATCCTCTTTCCAAAGTTCCTTTTTGTGTGCGCTATCATTGGTCCCTCGGTTGTTCCGGCGGCTGTGAACGGCTGCGGAACTCCGAGTGGGTTGATTACGTGGCCGTGTGGCCAGCTCAGGATGTAATGCGATGCATTGAGATGAATCATGTGTGTTTATCTGATGATGTGTACACCATGGTTTGCCAGGAATTTGTTGATTGATAGGTCCATTTGTAACAGGTCGGTTTGGACATTGGGCAGCTTGGTGCCCCATTTGATGACATCTGAAACATGGGCCAGGTTGGAACTTTGAAGTGGGCGCAGTCTGCGCTGTTTTGGCACTTGTTTTATGGGAATTACTCCGGCAGTTAGCTGCTGAGTGTCCTATACGTCCGCAAAGTTTACACTTTGGCCTGTTGCTCCTAACTTTATTATCAATCTTAGGATGGTTATTATTAGTAGAACTATTGTTAGATGTAATGGTCTTTGGGTTTAGTAACTTCTCTTGGTTTATAATCTTCTCAAGCTTTTCAGCCTCTGACCGTACTAGTTCTACTGTCCATGTACTAATGTCTTCATATTGAAACTGTAACTTTGTACGCAACTTAGACTGTATGTTCCACGGCAAAGCATTGAGCAGCTTCTCAGCTGCCTGCGTTTGTGGTTGCTTAAGGTCTCACGCTAATTTGGACTTACGTTGACTAGCTGTAGTAATTGAATCATTCTCCTCCACCTTGAAGTCTCCATAGGCTTGTATCTTGGCAGCTAAATCCTTTGGATATGCCTGCAAAAGACGAGCCCACAATTTAGTGACTGGATCACCGAGGAAGGTTGTAATTGTTGGAGGTTTCGGTGGCAAAGCTGGCCGGACAACCGTTCCGCGTTGTTCTGCGGTCTGGGCGTCCCATGCAGCTATGGCTTGTTCCTGAGTAAGTTTGTCTCTAAGGTAATTGGATTGCAACGCCGCATTGTGTGTTGCTAACTCTTCTTCCTTTTCTGTGAGAAGGGCAAGGCAGGTATCATGGGCTGCCCCGCCCGTTTTGGACATGATCACATGAAACTTATCAGTGGTGGTCAGTCTGTCATAACCTAACTGCAACTTATGCGTGGCCTCCCAGGCTGCATAAGTTGAACGCAGGTCGTCCAAAGTGACAGACGATTTTGGCTCTCCTGTGAACTTATGATTAAATGAATCAAGTTCTTTGAGTGCCATGCTTACTGTAACGGATGATCCTGAGTCTGCTGAATCAATTCCTTCAGACGCGTCAGTGGCCTGAGTGACAGCAAAGGTCTCACCTCGTACGCTTCTTTGTTGGCGGTTCCCCCACTGGATAAAGGGTGGCCGCGGCCCTTCGGTCCTGTACGATGAACCTTGGGCGTAAGGATTCTGAAGTTCTCTGCGGAGTTGGTATCCGTCTTCAGAATTTAAATTGGACATGGATATCCTTTGTTGTTTTGGATATCCAAAATGTTGTTGCCTAAACTGTTTTGGGCAGCAACAATTGTACTTGGGTTGTCTGTCCAAGTCTACTAGATTGACCTTATCCTACTGCAGAAGCTTATTGAATTTTGCCAATAGGGACTACTTTCCAGGTTACTGTTTTTCCTTTGACCTTCTGGCGTCTGCTAAAAGGGATGATGTGGACAACAGAAACCTGTCACCTGTGGCTATGGATGCGCTACTTTATAACTACAGGGGTCTTATCTACTTCCGAACGCAAGGGGTGGGTACACTCCCCTTGGGCTTGCCAGTTGTGTTTGTCCTTCCAAGATTCCCTTTTCAGGACGCACACCTAGTATGCTAACTGGACTCTATCACTAGCTGTTCCACATAGGCTCTGAAAAAGCTCAGAGCTTCAATGTCCACTCAATCCTGACAGGGGGTTATAACACTGTCAGGGGCAAACTGAAGCAGATCCTTGTCCAGTAGGGTGATTTCCACTTTAGACAAAGAGCGGCATTGGCTGGACAGCCAATGTCTCTGGTCCCTTGGATTTCCTGCGCAGTCGACAAATGGCAGCCAACAAGCAGTAAATGAAAAAGACTCTTCAATCAACTGATTCTAGTTTCAGGTAATTTGGGTCCAATCCCACCAGTCAGTCAAACAGTTTTCAGTAACTGACACAACAAAAAGGCAGCGCCTTTCTGGATTTTTGGTCCTTTACCTTATCCCTAAAGTAGGGGCTCGTAGTAGTTGTAGGTCTAAGTTGTCTTCCAGGGAAGGCCCTTGGGCGGCTTCTGGTGATGATGCTGGTACGGCTGGGCCCGTGCGGGGCGTACTTGGGAAACAGCTGCGGTGGGCGATAGGGGGCCAGTTGGTAGTGGCCTCTGTACGCCGGGTTGTTGTCCAGTCGGGTGAAGACAGACATGTTCTTGTACGCCGGGCCCTGATGCAACCTTGCTGCGGGGGCAAAGTGCACACGTCGGTTGGCTCCAAAGCCTGGGGGCCTGGGAGTGTCGGCGCGGTGCTGCTTGCGCCAGGTGGCGTTGTGGACCACTGGGGCAGGGGCAGGTTTGGGGACCCGGTTGACAGGACGGCGGTGTGAGTTGTTGACGGGGACGATGTGTTGGCCGCTCCGTCGCTGACGCCGTGGCTTGGAGGGGCGGATGTCCGGGATTTCCCTGATGGCTTCGTACACCCCGTGTTGTTTGGTGGTGACGTAGCGATGTTGAAGGCCGGTCTTCCGGGCTGCCAAGCGGTGACGCTCAACGGCCTTGGTACCGTCCAAAGCTACGTGTTGGGCAAACAGGGTATCCGCCCGCGTGACAGCGTGTTGCAGCCGGGCTTGGTCGATGTCGTCAGCCTGGGCTGCCAACTGTTGCTCCGGAGTGGGCTCACGACGGTCCCGGTCAGAGCTGGTGCTGATGTTGACCTTCAGGCTGCTGCGAAACGCTCTGGACGGACGCCCAGGGCACTGATCTGAGGTATGGAGGATTGAGTTAGGCCCGCAGCGGTTACACTGGGGCGGACTGGAATGCTGGGGAGATGAGGGCGGTGTTGAAGATAGGCTGGGGACGGCAGAACTCCGCCGGCTTTTGATGGCGGGGCTGATGGGGGCGTCGACACGCTCCAAGAGTCCGGGGACACTCTTTGCGTTCTCCTCCCAATTGAAGTTCTGTAGGTGGGGAATGTGGTTAGTTGTTGCAGGCGTCCGATGCACACTAGCAGGGGACACGCACTAAGTAGAATCCTAAAATGTCCAAAACTAATAGGACTGAATGGATGTTTGGATGTCCGTTTACTGTAATCTGTTGCTGTATGATTCCAGCTATCACTGGTCTCCAAAGGTCCTTCTGGACCGTTAAGCGCTGTGTGCCGACAGAAGGTCCGACAGAATCGTCCGTAAAGGTTGACCTGAGGGGCCGGGTGAGTAATACGAATGCAGACACACTATTCCACTCCTGCGCTGAAGACTGGCACACTGGACAAGCAAGTGACTTCCAAGTTTCTAACTGCGGACCAATGTAATGCCTGATATCGGCGTAAAGTTGGTCCACCCCACAAAGATCGTCCGAGTTCCTGTGCTGATATGGATATTCACTTAAATCTCCCGGCAAGACCTGACTGGCGATACTGCCACGGCAGCTGCTGATCTATTCTTCGCTGAACCGTAATGGCAATTTCTGGTCTATCCGCTTCCCACAATCCAGTTGGGTTTCCAAAACCAAAGTTTGTCAATCCAAGCAGGCTAATTCCTACTGTGGAACTCCGAGAAAAGCTCATTCACAC